GTAAATTTTATTGCATTTTTTCACCATTATCAATTTACAATTTAACATCAACATATATACTTGTTTTTAAATGATATATATCCTTTAAATTTTCAACCAGTTACTAAGTATTAAAACTTGTTTTGAAGTACTGTAATATTAGGGGACCTATTATCCTTCAACATTTTATACGAGTAAGTCAAGATTAGGTAAACCTTACTCAGTTTTATAGCGTGCAACAGAAATGCGACTCAGGTAATCCCGACTCAACTGGGGTTTAAACCCGGCTTACGTGATCCACGGATCAACCACTGAGCTGTACTTATCTGAACCATAGGTACGCAACCGGCCATAAGAGTACAAACCAGTAGAGCTACAGTTTTAACAAAGACTTATTGGTGAGCGACATGCTATTGATGATTTTGTGTGAAAGCAGATCAAGGCGTTTCTTCTTGAGAAATGGTTTGTTTTCTTTTCATATAGAAAAAAAACTTTTAATGTTCACTGACTGCGATATACTCAGAACGCTAGTCATAAAACGCTAATTTTATGATTCAAAGAGTGAGATTTTAAAATCAAAACCACTTTCTAATGCTACACAATACGCTCTATAAATCTCCATCATAACCTAACCCCAATATTCCATTCTGTATTGAATTAATTTATTAATTTTAAATATTTTTTTAAAAGAAGGAATTTTAGGGTTATCTTTAACAAAGGAAAATTCAAACATTCGGCTTAATTCATAATATTTCTCAAGCAATTATAGAAGATTCATATAAATTCTGATAGTGTCCGACTTAACATCAAATAGCTAAAATTTACTGTCCGACTCAAGATCAAACTGAGTCACTGTACTCAAACTTTATTTCTTCGAAAAAGAATTAAATATTTCATAATTGTGTATTTGCAATGTTTACTGTATAGTTTATGCCTAATTTTAACTTTCAAATTAAATTCTTTTACACGATATGATAAGTTCCAAGCATTTGATTTATCAAAATTTTGCCGAGCGGGTCTTCGAATTCCCCGGTGATTAGTCCTTTCTAAGGTCGACCGTCATAAACACAGCAACATCGTCTTTCGATAAAGAAAGACAACTCTTAATAGATTAAGAATTGCTTGATTCAGTCAATCACGACAGAGGGTGGATTCATTATCGGAAGTCTGTTAAAAAAAAGCGTCAAAATCGTCCGACTCTAGATAGTGTCCGACTCAAGATCACTTTACCCTAGACGAACGAATACCCCCAAAAAACATCTATAATTGTGTGATTTTATATTGGCTTTATCCAACTCGTTGAAATGGTATATATTCGCTCGGCAAGCCGGAAGACTGAATCAAATCTTTGTCCAATTTGTTTGTCAGAAGTTGAAGACACCTGTTTACTGGCTGTACGGAATTGCAGGATTTTTATAACAATTCATCGATAGCTTTAAAATTATTAATAATTTGTCTTTTGTTAAGCGGAGTTCTGTAAGGTCTGTTTTTAATTGGTCACCAGTTTCTATTGTCCCCCGCTTGAAAAGTGGGGGATATTAATTTGGGTTTGTCCGTCCGTCCGTCCGTCTTCCTGTCTGTCTGTAACGCTTTCGTTTCCACACGATATCTCAAGAACCCTTTGAGCTTTTGCAATGAAATTTAGCATAGCAACTCCCTGTGGACTAAAGAAGACCCCTATTGATTTTGAGGTCAAAAGGTCAAAGGTCAAGGTCATAAATAAGCAAATTCTGTCTGTTAAAACACTTTCGTTTCCACATTATATCTCTAGAACCATTTGAGCTATTGCAATGAAATTCTATTTAACAACTCCCTGTGGCCTTATTAAGACCCCTATTGATTTTGAGGTCAAAAGGTCAAAGTTCAAGGTCGTAAATTTATACATTCTCTCTGTGTGAAATACTATTATTTTCGGGCGATATTTGAAGAAGATTTTGAGCTTATGCAATGTAATTTTATATCAAAACTCCCTAGGACGTCTCTCGCCCCTCTCAATGTGCCCCGCCCCGTTTGTTTTATTAGTATTTATAGTATTACATGTCGCTATTTTTAGCGCAGGGGCATGAGGAGAGTTATTGCGTATAAAACAGGTTCTCGGCGGACTTTATGTTCTTATCACATCTATTAGAACTGTTTAACTAGAGCCGAGCTCGTTGCAAAGCAACGAATAGGTCTTCCGTTGGAGCTACGGATAAGAAGACGTAACCTTGAGTCTAGGTCAAAAGCCACATTCTAAAGTTGTACAAGTGAAAATTTAAACCTTGTAAGAGAAGCAACTTGCAATGTTTAGCTAGGAAAAAGACTGTAAAGGAATATATGTGACCTTGAACTTTCTAAGTGACCTTGAACTCTCCAATGACCTTGATCTAAGCAATGACCAACTCTCGTTATAAAAATATTATCCATGTGTTACCGTCTGGAAAATTTCAAACATTTTATTTAGATATTCTTTCTTTTCATGCATCCAACCAAAAACATGTTATCCTTGGGGACTTTGAACTCGAGTCAAGGTCACGTCTCACCCTGCATTATATCAGCAATGTTTCACTAGTAGAAAAATGGTAGCGAATTTACAGTTTCACTGTCACTAATCTTGACTCGTCCAAATGACTGGATATGTTCAGCCATGAGTTTTGTTTTCTGACTATAATCGAGGCAAAATGATTGATTGGGTTCAACACAATGTCGAGACTATAGCTCTACTTGTTTGTACTTATAACAAAGGAAGAGAAAACTAGCCATCGCCATCAGACCAAAACTGTAGAAGGAGTAGCGTTTTAAAGGAATTTCACATAAATCTCTATTTTTTGTAATCATGACAACACCGTTCATCGAAATCAAAAACGATGCACTTAATTATGTATCACATTGAAGTCTACCTGTGTGTCCAGTTATATTGAAATCAAACTAAAACTGTAGGAGGAGTAGCATTTTTAAGGAATTATATACAGAAATTTCTATTTTTAGTAACCATAGCAACACCGTTCATCGAAATCAAAAACGGATGCACGATATTTTGTATCTTAGTGAAGGCTACTTATGTGCCAAGCAATATTGAATTCAGACAAAAACTGTTGAAGAAGTCGCATTTTAAAGCATAGGCGTCGGAACCGGGGGGGCTAGGGGGGCTTAGCCCCCCCCCCTCCCCCACTTTTTTTCCCAATATATACTTAGTATAGACATTGAATACATTTTCGTAAGTTTAGCCCCCCCCCACTTTCCATAGATACGTCTTAGTATAGGTTAAAATCGGAAAAAGTGTTGGTATTCGGAAGAAAATTTGTTGGTACTAGACTTCGAACCTTGCCCTCCAACTTTCGTGTAAATATCTTATGTCATTTTTGAGATTTTCAGTGGAAACGAGACATCAAAAATTTTCAATTAAAGGGCAATAACTCACAAATAAAGGCATGCATAAAAAAACTGAAAACAGGTTTAAATAGGTTTAACTACAAGCTATCTATCCTGAAAGTTTCATAACGATCAGTCCAAGGTCTTTGAGAAATCGCCTGTCAAAAGTCGAGCGGGAAAAAAAAAGAATAATAAGAAACAATAGAATAACAGTAGGGTCTTCCGAAGGAAGCGGAAGACCCTAAATAATCTTAATCTTCAGAATCAGTAGAAGGTCTTCCGTTGGAAACGGAAGACCTTAATAAAGGCTAAATAAATCAAACACCATGGATTATGTAAAATGTTAAGAATACCGAACATGAAAACATGAATATATACATGTATGTGACTTCACTTCTGCATATACTTCGCACCAACAAAGCAATTCCGTGGTCTAGTGGTTATGTCTCTCGCTTCAAGTGTGAGAGGTCCCGGGTTCGAACCTCGGCCGCACCTTTCTTTTTTTTCTTTTTTTAAATACTTTTTTTTAACTAAATGATAGTATTCAGCATGTGAAATGAAAAATTTATGAGGTTATAAAATCATCATTACAGTGTGATAAAAATTCCATATAAAAAAATCTTCTATACACATAATGAAGAATAAGCAATCAAATCTTTATACATGTATTTTATTTCCTTCAGTATACACGTATACATTTAATAATTCTACAAATTCAGTCGGGGGGGGGGGGGGGGCGACTTTTTCCCTAAGCGGGGGACACGAATTCTCTGAGTTAGCTTGTTTTCATTGTTACAGTTTTAGTGTGCCAACTCTTGTAGTTAACTTCTAGTACATGTAAGATATACATTTAATACTAGTATTTTCGTCTGTCAAAAAGTTTCTTCCTTTTACGTTCATATCAATCTGAATTAATAATGTCATCAAATAGACCCTTCGACAAACGCTAATGAACCCATTTTGAATTCTTGCACAGAAGTAAAGCAAAAATTCCACAAATGGATCATCTGTGTACCAATAAGTGTGACTGTCTACAGGTGAAAACTTTTTTGAATTGTAAATAGTCAAGAACATAATGATTGTTTTTTTAACCGAGTGGACACTATTTCAGCCATATTTAGAACGTAATGAAGAAATGACACATGTATTGTTACAAATTGTGATGTACTTTAAAATAGATCTTCAACCTGCACAGCCTTTTGTCAATTTTCATGATCAATAAAATGACCTTGTCAGCGAATACAATTTATCATTTGGTCAAATGCCGATTAACTTTTTTCAAACTGATTGTTAGGTCATTGTTTACACACTGAGTTGTCCACCTACTTTCCGTTTTGGTTCCCGAACATGACAAGGAGAACACAGCGGATGTAAGCAGTCGACAGGGTATGCTCACTCCTCCACGGCACCTGATCCCACCTCTGATGTTCTGGAGGTCTGTGTTTGCTCCGCTCCAATTTTGTAATTTTCAATGGACTTTTGAGCTTGAATACTGTTCATTATCTCCACACATTCTATTCTAATTCTATTTCTTCACAAAACTTAATCATCCTTCTCTAAGGAAAAATTGCAAAAAGTGCTTCTTTAATTCTTAATGAATCCAGTGTTATATGTAATATGATATATACTTAACATGTTTTAAAAGCCCTGTTAAAATTAAAATACATATAAACAATTTCTCCCTTTTTATTAAACCATTTATCAATATTAACATGGTAAACACATAATATTAATATTATATGAAACTCAGCACAAATGCAAATTTATGGGGGGGGGGGGGGTGATGTATTTACAAAATGACCAAAAAAACAAGAGCATTAATCATGTATTAATCATTTATGAATTTATTGAATTTTCATCACATCATTAACTGACCTTCCACAGAATATAAATTGACAGAAATTGTGAGCAGTATATTCTATTTAAATTCACCAATCAATTTACTTACATGCCATCTGACTTGTGATATACAAATAAATGACCAGAAAATCATGGTCTATATAGAGGTATATATATACAACACATTACAATATACAATGTAAATACCAACCAAGTATTCTAGTAAAAAAAATATGCAAAACATAATACACTATACAAGGCATTTACATGTTTACTGCATGTATTCAAAACAATTAATGAAGTAATCTGCATATTAAAATGATATATTTTTTCTTTCTTACAAGAGCTATATGACCAAAATTAAAAGTAAGGAAAGATCTCAACAACAAACACTGCCAACACTGTTCACTGCCAACTTAACCAAATCTGTAGTCTTAAATGCTGAACCAAAGGGACACATTTTTCAAAAGTCTGACATTATAATTCCTGCTAGAAGTCCATGAATATAATGCATTTTCAATATATAACTTACTTGCCTAATCTTTGAGACTGATTCATAAAAGCCATGAATTTCAAAGTGTTAGTATAGGTATCATTGCAACTCATGTCAATAATTAACCTGGTAAATGTCAATAGTACAGAAGAACTGTCCAAAATAGACAAATACCCCCTGCTGGGATTTTCACAGGGGGTACCAAATCAAAAGATTCCTGTTTGTAAGAGGTGTTAAAAATTTGCTAAAACATTTAATACATTTTATATGCTAAAATTATAGTGAGCAAAGGCATAGGTATCTATTGTATTTTTTGAACTCAATCTTGAATCTTTTTGATCACCCCTTGCACATAACTCTCTTTAAATGTTCCCAGTCATATGAACAATCATGATCAATGGATCAAATGTAGCTACTCTATTGACATGATTCAAAATACTTGTATTTTCTTGTATTTTGAACGAATCCTAACCAAAACATAAATTCTGCAATTTTAGACCTGTCCTCTGCTCTTAATATGTCAAATGGCTCAGTGTAATGAATCTTCCCAGGATCGTCTGCTGTTCCTTTGTCTCCAGAATATACGCCCTCTGAATGCTCTTTTGACATTTTCAGGAGAACAAAAATTAACTACAAAGAAATATGGAGAATTCTAAGAAATATCATAGTTTGCAACTAAGTGTTAAGTTTCACATTATGTCATGATATAGTTGACAGCTGCACTCAAGGTAAATTGTACACGCCTTCTAACCGCAAGCTTTATGACTGGATCTTTCTTCTTATCCCTAACTGGTTGCTCAAGCAACAGACTATTTCCATGTCAATGTTGATAATTTAAGTTGACCAATGAAGTGAATCGTTTATGCTGGGTGCATCTGACAAAAAGATCGTGACGTAATGTAAAACTTTACACTTAACTGCAAATTGTATTATTCAAAATGTATTATCAAAGTTGAACTTTTCAAACATTTAAGGTAACAAGAGATCCCTGGGCCACAATGCTCACCTGAGTAGCATTAGCCATATAAGGATTTTAATGATTGTCCACCTTTATTCCTTAGAAAACAAAATATGTTTGAGAAACACTGATGCCCCTGTATAACAACATAGGGAAGGTTAATTTTTCTCAAATACAAGTCAAATATGTTGGTACCCAAGGTAAGGTCTTCTCACAAGGAATACAAATGTGAAATATGAAAGCCCTAGCACCAACTGTTCAAAAGTATGGCCAAGGCGCAGCATTGTTAAGGCTGAAATAAAGAGGTGGGGCCTAATTTATTCGGGAAAAGTTTACTGTGAAGTCACACTAAAATACGACTTTTATGTATTTCTCATAATACCTGAAAATTAAATAATTTGCAATTTTTAACTGTATTAGCATAATAAACAATAATAAAACTTATCAATGCACTTAAAAGAGAAGTTGCTAGTTAAATCCAATACAGCTGGTTATAAACACTGATCTCGATGAACTTGACAATCATGATGTCATTTTGGTAAAAATTATGCATTTCATGTGCTGTGAGAGGCAGATTGGGGAATTTTTTAACAATGAAAAATGTGTTTTATTATAAGGCAGAATGTTATTTACATGCTTTAAATAGGCTATTAATACCAATGTATATCATTTGTTCAGTGCGATTATTCATGAACTATCAAGAGAATGTATTCAAATAATTTTGTCGTGTTTTTAATGTTCAGGCTAGGTATATTTTAAATCAAGGTGCATCGTTAAATCGTTCTTTCCCAAGGGCATACACTAAATAAATCTTAACTATTTTTTGAATATAAATAAAGGATATGTTCCTTGACTTGAGAAGTGCTGCTGCTTTCTTTAAATCTAGAGTGTGACTTTATAAGTACACAAAATATTTGGTAGAAGTCAAACTTATTTCGACATGGGCCCATTCACTTGAAATTTTAACCATTAAAATGGGAATTCTATTCAAAGCAGCAGCACTTTCCAGAAAGCACAAAGTATACAGAAAAAATTAATAGCTTGAATTTTTAATTTCAAATAGGGTATGCCCTTGCGATATTGAAATTTGTTATTGTCCTACATTCAATACAGGTACTATGCATTCATCATGTGAATGTCCATCCATGGGACCAATTCAACTTCATACAGTACAGAGTAGGTTATACTAGTATGTTATTTCCATAAGTATTTAAGTTCTGTTGTAAAACAGCTGAATAAAAATCAATTCAGTTTTAGTATGTCAAACTCCAATCATCAGATCAGTATTTAAAACTTTAATGTGGTTCCAAAATTTGATCTTAAATTGAAGCCTTAATTGCCCCACCCCCAGGAACATATTGAACGGAACACATTTGAAAATACTAGTACTCTACCTGAAAATGCTTCTTGAGTAGAGAATTTTAGAGTTTTTTTCCTATGTTTTGCTAAGGAAAACAAATTGTACGATTTTATTTGCCTAGCTCTGTTTATTTTTCATTTATTATTTTTTAATTTCATTATTTTTTATGTTGTCACTTATACTGATTACTATTATTAGAGAATAGTTGCATAGACAGAGCTGATTGTTCCTCTTCCAAACTGAGCAATTGGCTAGGAAAAAGCACATATCAGATCAGAACTGAAAGTTTACTGAGGTAGGGGGGGGGGGCTTGAATTTTAACCCTCACGGGGTCATGATTTGAACAAACCAGAATCTACACTACGTGAGAATGATTCCATATAAATATTACTATGCATGGCTTTGAAGTTCATGAAAAGAAGATTTTAAAAGATTTTTCCTATATATTCTTAATATGTAAAACTTTGATCAGCCATTTTGGTCCCACCCTACCCCCGTTGTCCTGATTTGAACAACTTGAATCTACATGACCTGAGGATGATCCCACATGAGTTTCATCTTTCCTAGCCCAGTGGTTCTTGAGAAGAAGGTTTTGAACTATTTTTCCTATATATTCCTATATCTTTATACAAAATTTGTTGCATTAAATTCTTTGTCTCTTTTTGTCTTTTTTTTGAGATGACAAAAAAGAGTTAGGTGATTATGCCATCCACAATATATTTTCTTAGCAATACACTCTGGTTAATATATGCCAAAGTATCAATATACATAAGACATTTAATAAAGAAATTATGGATTCTTATCAGAGTAAATTAGCTTTGTTAAATAACAACAGAAGCTAGAATTTAAGGTCTGCAGGTATACTTGCATTTCAAAGATGGCGTCAACAGCAACAAAATGGCTTAAAATATATTTTCTTAGTTAAATGCAGTCAATTTGAAATAATATACCAAAGTATAAATATAGACATTTACTTAAGATATCATATCATAGATGCTACAAAAATTGAAGATTTGTTCAATATCAATAAAAGCCAGATATTTAGGTTTGAATGTTTATGTTTTTGATGACAGTTTTCATGGCAACAAAATGGCTGATCAATTTAATTTTTTTTAGTAACACGCCTCATCACTCCCCATAGTAAAATAAACATTTTCTGAAACGCAGGCCAAAAATAACTCAAACCATATATAATTCTTTGGTTGAGCTGTGTTTCCAGTGTTTTTTTCCTTATATAACTGGTACCTATGAACGACACCCTTCCCAATGCCAAAACCGTTAAATTTTCCCAATTTTTTGACCAAAAATTCCCAATTCAACTGTGAAGCAACAGACTAAGACGACATCGTTTTTCTTTTTAAATGAAACAATGTAAAAGTTGACTAATTGTTTCACTTCCACTTAAATTGAAAGTAGAGAAAGTCGTAATTTGCGGGACCTGTGGTATAAACAGCATAGTGTCATACATTTTGACAAATTGAAAGCATGAAAATGTGAAAACATGGGACATTGATAAAAAGAAGCAATCAGCACTTGTTGTTTATTCCTTAAAACAGGTATAATATTATAGTTATAAGCAATTAAGTTGGAATAAGTGCATAATACGTTTTATTTAATTAAATGAGAGAAAATTCTTGTTGTTCTTGGATGTTATTTTTCCCAATTGAACCAGTACCGGACTCTTTCCCAGTGGGTGGGAAAAAATCGCTGGTTTCTAGAGAGGTTGAAAATATGAAAAGTTACAAAGACACATCAGACATGGACACCCTTTGGTCAGAAACTCACTTGTGTAATAAATATCAATTTAGAAAATACTGTGTATTGTTTAAGCAATTTTTTACCTTTGTTTCCATGCAAATGATTCCAAGAGAATGTGGATAAAATACAGAGTATTGTGATTGGCCAACAAGCTCTCCTCCAACTTGCCCCATAATGTTTTTTCCTACAAGCTGTCCTATATCTGTAGTATCTTGATTTAATGGCACTTTTTTAACCTACAATTTAAAGAAACTAAATTCAAGGAAAAACCTCTTTTTCCTTATATTATACCACTTTTCATTAAGTCCATGAACATCTAAAATATTCATGTCAGTCCATAATGACATGGATTTCTTTTTAAATTAGTGAAATTCATAAATATTTATAACAACAATTCTGGCATTATATGAAAGATATTAAACTCCATTTCATCTTTATGGGATAATTATACAGAATTCTTAAATATTACGAATGAGCAAGTATTCAGGAGCAAAAGCTTAATTAAGAAATACCAGTAAGAAATAAACTTTGCGTTTTGGTCGCGGTACTGGTAAACCGTAATTGAATTAGCCTTCATCTGAGACAGTGTCTATTAGTTTATTGACATATTTAAAACCTCTGAGGTCCAGAAAGTTGCTTGAAATGTAAAAGCCAAGATTTGACATTTCGAGTCAAAGAGAAGGCTAGTTATCCTGCATCTTTCATGAGAACAAGAATTTTATTTCCAATCTAAAACATGTAATAAAAATACACTAATCATTTTCTGTATGGAGAAACAAAAGGTCACCACACTGTCACAAATATACTGTTTCATTTAACACCAATTTAATGTAATTTGCTCTTTTACTCACAGTTTGATTACTGGTGATTTGAGTTTTTGTTGGATTAAAAATCCTTTAATTATTTATAAATTTGTTTAAAACATATTTGAACTTTTTTTTTAAATGTAAAAAAAAATTAAATCAATTTTCCATTTTATTGCTTTATCAGTAAATCATGATGTCCAAATATTGTGGGGAGGTTCATGACACAGCTTCATTTAACTTTAAACATAGGAAAGGCCATTCCAAGCTTTTTATTTCTTAATAAGTGTCTGCCCTAAATTCAAAAAGCCATCTTTCTATCTGAAAAAACCCTTCTTAAACAAAAAAGGGAAAAATACATTTTCAGGACAAATCTATAATTTGTCATCATCAGTATTGGACTTTTGCAAGGAGCGCTGACTTTTACAGTTGACGTCTAACGTTTACACTAGGACAATGTACAGAGGATCATTTATGACATAAATATTTAGCTCAACAATTAATTCAATGCAAATAATGGGTTATTTCAAAGCACAAGTAAGTTGTCCTTAAGGAAAACCACAACCACACTACCCTCAACTCTTAGCCTTCACAAGTTAGTGCCCCTAAAACCATACCTATGACCACTAGAAAGGTTTTCTTATCTATTACCAATTCTATACCTCCGTATATGATACAGTTTAAAATGTATAAAAGTAAAACATCAACTGTAAAAGTCAGTGTTTCTCACAAAAGTCCATTAGTGATGCCAATCTAACATTATCCTGAGATCAGTAAGGCCATAATAAAAATATTCCTAGATTCTCATCCCCGCCAGCCCCAATTTTTTACCCCTGCCTCAATTTTTAAAATTTCTGTTTTTCTTTGTCTTAATTCTGATTGGGATCAGAATTTAACTACCATTCAACTTTCATTTAAGTACAGTTCCACCTAAGAATCAGGCAAAATCAAATTTTGTGATAAGTCAGTGTTTGAGAATTGACTTGAAACCTCACATGCTTATGCATCAGGACATAAGTAATACATATATTCAATGATTTGAAAATGTGCAGGCTTGTTCTAATTTAATAGGCATTATATTGAGAAAATAATACAAACGTGCGTAATACAGATCTATACAATGGTATGGACTAGGGCGGTCACGGGTACCCGTAATGACCCGGAACCGCAGAACAATTAATTCGGGTCGGGTACGGTTCTGTTTTTCCGGAATTCGGTTCCGTTCCATTTGTATAATAGAGTAGATTTTGCTATAAAAATGGCGTCAAAAACGAGACATTTGTTAGTACATTGTCATTATAAGGTGATTTAAATAATTTCATTTAAAATTACATGTATGTTATTTTCATACATGCTTACGTATATCAATGATTATGTATAATAATATTCTTATAAAGGATAGATTCAAATATGGTCATATGTAACTTTTGTACATATCTGGTTAATGCTCATTTACAAGAAACATTTTGTTTTGATATTTGCAAAAAACGGAGCAGAGTAATTTGAGAAAGGTGGAAGACGATGGTATAATCATTTTGTTGTTGAAAATAATACAAATCATGAGCTTTTCTTCCATTACCTACCCTACCCGAGAAACCCGAAACCGAACCTAAAAAGATCAGAACCGACCCGACCTGCCCCTAGTATACACTGAAAACAAAAAAATTTGTTATGCCAAAAGTGATAATAATATAACAATGAATCAGCTTTGTAAATATTATAAATTTAGATTTTAAAAAGTTTGGAAAATTGCAAGTCTAGCATTTTCTACCCCCATAAATATTTCCAATATTAGTGAATTTCAGTTATCATTCTTGATTTATGACCTAATTTGCCGCTTGAGTGCGCTCTGTTGTTAAGTACCCCAATCCAGAAAAAACAGAATCAAATTGATTAAACATTGAATTTGGCATTTTGTTTCAGTTTAATTAATCTTCTGAAAATTGAAAAATGTCTAACTTCAAACTAAACATCTTCTGTCCTTGAAACTTAGCGATACACTGGGTGTCAAATTTGATCGGGTTCAGGTTGTTCCAAGTTCCACACTGTGTATGGTGTATGCGAATTTGGTCATGATTGGAATATAGACTGCGATATCAGAGGTGCACAAGAGTTTATCATAAATAGCTGTTTTGGATTTCAATTCCAGAGTAAACCTGGTACATTGAATAGGAATATTCAGTATAATGTGAAAAATGTAAATAGGAAAAAATTTAATATAAGCTAAATTTAACACAAAATGCACTTAAAGAGCTAGAGCCACGAACCACCAAAATGTGCGTTTTCAAAATTCATTTAATTCATATTACATGTATGCAATTCAAAGATCTAGTTACATTTGGCCAATATGAATTTTACATTTTATGAACATTGAGCTATCAGACATTGAAGCAAGTTCCACCATTTAAACAGTGATTATAAGATCATTATATGTGTAAATAGCCTAAATTAGTTATTTTTATACCAGATTTATTCTTGATAACTACATTATCTCTTAATTGTCAGTTATTTTGATGAAGAATATCTTAAACTTACATTTAACTTTATTATTTCATTTAAAATTATGTTATTTTCATACATGCTTACGTATATCAATGATGACGTGATAATTGGACTTTTTTGACGTCGACTTCACTTTATCATGAACATGATGATAAGGATAATTGCTGAAGTCCATCAACTTGAAGATATTTTCCTTATAATTTGAAAAGTGCCAGTTACCTATTTGTTGCCAGTAATATATGTTGAACATAATACTATTTTTCAGATTCTTTACATTAAAAGAGAATACAAATGCCTTTAGTAATGCAAAGTTATTATCAAAAATACATGCAATCGCAATAATCATACATACAAGTTTTAGATATATATATTAATATTTTCAGTGAAGAAATAAAATCGGCATTGATGCCTTCAAAATCGTTTTCTTCATTTAATTATCAATAATTGTTAGTTACATTTAGCTAACACAAAAACAACTAGAGGTACCTCCCCACACCAACAATACTGCACCAAAAATGTTAAGCTCTTCTTTATTAGCTTTTCAATAGAATTCATCTTAAGGTTTTTTTCCTGAAATTTCTATTCCTTTGCCTACATATCATACAATGTATTTTTTTCAAGTATAAGAAGCATTACATAAATACTATATAGTTACTCAGAATTGAGAAATGAGACCTACACCAAAAACTGCGCCAAAAATGTTAACCTGCTCCAAAAAAATTAACCTTGTCATTCCTTTGCTGAAACTGCAGCATCTGAAACTTTGACTGGCACAATGAAACACACTAGAAACATCTTCCATGCATATCTAATCAATATAGGACATAGAAGTAGTTAAAAAGAAAACTGCTGACGCTGACACCGATGCGGAAACCAATGCCGATGCTGAGGGTATTACATAAACTCCCCCAACTTTGTTGAGGTGAGCAAAAAATGATAATATTAACAAAATTACCTCTATTATAAACAAGAGTTCTTCCATACTCTTTCCGGAATGGAAATGATAGATGAGATCAGCTGTACTCCTCATCGTTTTCTTGTTAAAAGTGAAGGACCTCTCAAGTAAAAAACTAAAAGAAAAAAAAATAGTGTCAAAAACATAACAAACTACACAAGAAGGGGAAGTATAAAGACATTTTTAGTAGTAGTTTCTTAGATGTATCATCCATGCAAGTTTGGTCAACAAAGGGCTTATAGTTACTTGGAAATGAGACCTGCACCAAAAACATTCACCTGTTCACTCAACCCGAAAATGTAGGTCAGATTCAGCATCCGAAGCAAGTCTGATAATGGGCATCCTTAGACGTATCATCCATGCAGTTTTGGTCAACATAGGGCTGATAGTTCCTTGGAAATGAGACCAACACCAACAAGAGGCCCAAGGGCCTAATAGGTCACCTGAGCAACAACTTTCAAATGATTGAATTTGGTTCATGTTTCAAGCTAGATGCTATGGTATTTACAATTCTAAAAGAGGTACCATTGCTAATCATAACTATACACTTAGCAATTGTTTAGTTTGTTTACTTAATACCCAAAAGCAGGGCAGAGGAATAAAAAATGCATTTCAACTAATCAGTAATATTCAGCAATACTCATAAGTGCTCCTACAACACATGAACCCCTGGCCCTAGGTATACACATTGCACAATTTTTGAAAAGGCACACTTGCTTATCAAAAATGTTTGATTAATAATAAGGAGCAGATTTCAAACAATTCATTTTGATATATAAGTAGAGCCCCCCCCCCCCTCTTGGTATCATCAGGGGCTGACAAATAGATTTTTAAGGCACTTGCTAAAGGGAATGTACATGGTCAAAATTCACTTGCCCTACCTGAATTTTTGCCTGCCCTACCATTAACTTATACTGTATTTATAAATATATATAAAAAATACTGAGTAGAACATGTAGAATATTGGCATAGATATTGATTTTATTTTTGATAATTGATTAAGTCACTTGCCCACTGACCAAGGGGCCTTGAAATTTACAATTCTGGAAGAAGAGGCCTTGCACATCATAACTATATAGGTAGTTCATCTGCTTATTACCCAGGAGATTTTTATAGATGTAATGTATTTTCCCTATATAATCATTATAGAGCTACGCCCTAACACCATAACCCCTGACCATATGCATGGGGCAAAAAAATTCACAATTTTGGTAGAAGCATTCTTGCTTATCATATCTATGTACTTAGTAAGTTTATTTGATACTAGAAGCAGAGAAGAAGATTTTCAAAGAAATTATGTATTTTCACTATATAATTAATAGAGCCCCACCCTAACCCCTGACCCTGGGGCCATAAAATTCAAAATTAGGAGTAGAGAAGAAGATTTTTACCAGTCGGCAGGGGATGCTCACTCCTCCATGGCACCTGATCCCACCTCTGATGTTTCCGCTGTCCGTGTTTGCTCTGCTCTTATTTTGTATATTGTTTAATGGACTTTGAGATTGAATACTGTTCGTTATCTCCATATCCTTCGTTCAAAGATTTAATGCATTTTTACCATATTATCAACATGATCAATAGAGCCCAGCCCTAAAACCAGAACCTCTGACTTGAGGCCATACTTGCCAACCTCCAGCAAGTAAAAATCCGGTCATGACCAGATTTGGAAAGTGAAAAATCTGGTCATAATGCCTAACAACATTCAGGACATATCTAACATGATTAAATCTTTTATTTTATCTAAATATAAGTATATTTGTGTATAAAGAGAATTCTTTTATTTAAAAAAGGCTTTAGCTTACAATGACAAAATATTCATAAATAATTGGATTTAAACTTAGAATCGGAAGCCATTTTAAATTGACTTCAAACATTTATTTATCAAAACAACACCCAGTTAATTGTTTACACCTGCACTAATAATTAATCCATCTGCATTGTTTACGCGTAGATCTAAGCTTGGTTTGTAACTGGAAGTTTAAAGTGCAGCCTAGTTTACGAACCAAATCAGGAAATCGGGAGATTTTCGGGTTGTTCGACAAAAATCGGGTAAAAAGCATGACCTGCCAGGTCATAGAAAATAATCGGCCAGTGACACCGGGTTACCGGTTGAAAAAATTGGGTGAGTTGGCAACTACTCCTGGGGCCTTAAAATTACAATACATAATTTATAACAAGGTTTGATTGCATCATGTGTATGTGTCCACAAGCACAGTTTAAATATTTGGGCTGTGATAACAATATTCTCTTGAAGTATGTCCTGATTTTCTGCAATTATTTCTGCAAGTGATAACTCAAAGTAAACATTTTCAATTAAGACGATATTTCATTGCAAAGATATCGAGAAATCACAACTACGGATTTACTTTAACTTTAAATAAGTAATTTTTTCAAATGTCAATATAAATGGAATAGGTTGTATAATTTTTTGGCATCGTGAACTTATCATATACTAACCCTTCTTTCAAAGAGAATATGTTTCCAAATGATCTACAATAGTGCTGACAAATATTATCAGTGGTACGCCTACACTCTGCATTGTCATGTCCACCACGAGACCCTCCTTGTCCGCCTCTAGCTCTTCCACCTCTATTTTTCCCTCTCTTCTTCTCCTGTGAATCATACATTGGTTTTTGAAATATTCCCATTCCCAACAGTTCAAGAGTTTCCTCTGCAAAGTCCCTTACTGCCACATTAAATAATGTAACAGACTCCTTTACGAATTCCTCTGTAGCAGGTTCCAAGGACCTATGGAATTTGAAGAGTACAGAAATATTACTTTTTTCTAGCTTGTCAGGCCAGGCTTTTACAAAACATCTAAGATTATGTAGCTCATCTCAACAAAATTTCTTTAACTCTTTACAACTTAATGAATTGTTTTGCAACATACGCTGAATCCTCGCGTCATAGAAATATTACGTTACTTTTCCCCGCAAGCAGTTTACAACGAGGTACAAGTTTCTCTAAAGTTTAGCGTAAATAATATTGTAACGTAATAGTTTAATAAGAAAATAATTTTTCTTATTTTATGAGGTTAAAGCAAGTATAAAATCGTTGGAATTTGTCAATAAATTGAAGATTATATGAACTTTTTAAAGTGCGTGAAAATGCGTGATTGCGGTGAAACGGTAAATGCATGATTTTGCGTTAGAAATAGGAAATGGTATATGCGATAAAATGCGTGACTGCGGGGAAGGGGATTAAGTAAGGGAAAGTCATAACTAAATTTAATAATCAAAGGTGTGTTAAGAAAGTTCCTTCCTTTAGACTTAGAGTAATTTATTTCTAACAGAAAGTTACAGGGTTTTTCTTCAATAAGAAAAAAATATATAAACATCTTTATAGCACCCAAATGACAGAAATGCTGGTCAATTTGTGTGAAAATTTAGAATCATTTACAATTGTTTCTTCACAGGTTTTCTTGAATCATACAAAACTGATGAGCTAAGGTATAAGATTTTTAAAAAGATTAATCATTTCTTAAAAGAATAGAAATTCTTCACTTAACCTCTCTGTATACTCATTGTGATGTCATTTTAGCGTGGGTTTCTCTGTGTATACTTTTACATTTGAGTAAACACAAACATAGGTAATGAAAGATTGCAAAGGTCACCTCGACTAATGTTATTAGTATAAGTAGTGCAAATCTCACATATTTTCTTTATACTTAGTGTGCATCCTGACAATAATATTCATGCAGTTTATGTAGGTCTTATAGTTCTTTATAACGCCGACAGTAAAGCATAAGCTCATCTGGACTTTGTCGAGGTGAGCTAAAAATGACATTTGAATCATTTTAACAGTTGGCCTGGTATAAAATTCATCAGAGCAAATGCAAATATTGCATTTTGAAAATTTTTATTTAATTCAAATCAAATTTAATTGTGCAAATTTAATGACATTTTCAAAGTTTGAAGTAACTGGGGTAGGGATAGAAGCCTCTACTACTGTAAACCAACTTTTATTCGCATGCGAAAAATTTTCGCAAAGTTTGCGACAGCCTCGTCATTGCGAATATTTCTCGCTGCAAACCGGTACTTAAACTCTCTCTGTCTTTTTACAACAGATCGAAAAAGGCCTGATCGCAAAAATTAATTGTCACAAACTAGTGTACCCCTGGTAAATCGCAAAATAAAGTTGTCGCAAATAAAAGTTGGTTTACAGTATATATTCTTTGCGGAACCTTGATTAGAAAAACTAACTATGAAATAACTTACTTGAAATCAAAAATGACATCACATTTTTTCCATGTCATTTCCATGTTTTCTTTAATCTCTTTTTTTACTTTTTCTATCTGTGTCTCTTTATGCTGGCTTTTCACCATTTTTTCAATTTTTCTCAATTCATGTGTAAATGTTAAACTTTTTTCAAGTTGTTTTTTGAGAAAGCTGGTAATTTTGCTGGGATCAGGACAAAAACCTTTTTCATTCCTAAAAGCATCCTTTACATCTTTAATAAATTTTTCCAAGGGATCTGGCATATCCTCATAATAGATATTTAGGTCCATAAGATCTTTATAGGTCCAATGACTTGCTGAGAAGTTTCCTTCCTTTGAACTTGCAAGTTGACTCTTCAAACAGCTTGAATCTGTTTCATCACACTCACTCCATGTACTAAACTCCGACAAACTTGATGGTGCATGTTTTTTCCTCGGCGGCAAGCTGGTTTCCTTACTAGAGCTTGGTGTTTCATCTTCCTTAAAATAAAAAAAAGAATGCCAATTTTTTAACAACAGGCCCACTGCAACAATTAACACTTGATCACCTGAGAAGTTCAGTATATATGCTTCAATATAAATTATAGTCACACTTTTACCAGATATCCAAGGTAAAATATAGTAAGTTTTGATTTATTGCTCTAAATGTTATCAAAAGGAGAAGATCTAATGTGCATGTGATATTGCTATAAATACAAGAGGCCCAAGGGCCTTAAGGTTCATAAACCCTCTGCTCACTCATATGGAAATTGTCTTTAATTTTTTTGTTTTTCCAAAGGAAATGTATATGCAGAATAAAATACAAACAATTGTAGCATGGCTTGCAGGGCAAAATTTGACAAAAAAGGCACTTGAAAAATGTCTAAAGGAATAATAGACATTTGTGTCATTAAGAGTTATCTCTCTTATCAAAGTATCAATATACCTTAATGATCCCCCTGTGCATTATACAAAATTTCTGGGATCCACAGAGTACAAACATAGGTAATCAGAGATGACAGAGCTCATCTCAAAGAAATTTGTGTTTAAGTAAAGTCCCACATTAAACTAATAATCTAGTAGTGTACATCCCATGATGTAACATTACTGCAATTTTGATCTGATAGGGCTTGTAGTTACTCGGGAATAGATTTATCCAAAACTTCAAACTAGTCTCTCATCCACAAAATGTAATTCAAATCCAGCATCTGAAGCAAGTTTGAGAGTCCATTGTTGCATCATCCATGTAAATTTTGGATCAGATAGACCTTATGATTCCTTAGTAATAGAAATCATGGAAATGCACCCAAATTTTTACTGGTCCATTATCTGAAAAATGTATGTCAGATCCAGCATCAGCAGCAAGTCCATTAGTGTGCATCCTTAGATGTACCAGTCATGTATAAGGCTTAGAGATACTTGGAAATGAGACTTACAACAAAAACTTTGACTTTTTCACTCAACCAGAAAATGTAGGTCAGATCCAGAATCCTAAGCAAGCCTGGTAGTGCCCATCCTTAGATGAATCATCTAAATATCTAGAGATATGATGATTGGTGTTTTTTTTTAAACAAGAGGCCCATGGGCCACATTGCTCACCTGAGCACCTTTGGTCGGCCATTGTGGCCCCGCCCTACCCCCAGGGGTCATGATTTGAACAAACTTGAATCTCCACTACCTGAGGATGCTTCCATATAAATATAATCAATCATGGCTTGGCTGTTCTTGAGAAGATTTTTAAAGAATTTCGCAGCACAGTTAAGGTTACAGTAAGGAGGCGGGGCCTAATTTGTACGGGAAATGTTTCTATGACGTCACACATAATATAAGGTCTTCAAAATACCACAAAATGAAATTATTTGCTATTTCAAACAGCTGGATAGCTGTATACTACATACAAACATACTATTACATGCAGTTTTGCCGTTTGTTAAATCCCACACAACAGTATATAAATGATGCATCGATCGCAATGCACTTGTCAATGTGACGTCATCTCGCAAAAATGACGCAGTTTGTACACAGTGAGAGGCTGATCAAGTCACATTTTGTACAATGAAAAATGTCTTTTTTTTCTCAAATAAAATATTATTTGCAGTAAAATAAAAAGCCGTTGACTTGGATGCGATGTCTATTTTAGTATTTTATTTATAAACAGTACGTGCATTATGCAGACAAGCGATACTGTAGTGTGTTTGTATGCAGATTCATTGAAAAAGTAATGGAAGGGCCCTAATAAATCGATTTATTGCAAGGGCATACCCTCAATGTATCTTTTCAAAATTTTACACATAAACTCAAGAAGCATTAAGATATTTGAAAAGTGCTGCGAACCTCTTGAAATCTTGCAAATAAATTAATTATAGCTATATTTAATGTATTTGACCAGCAAAATATTCAACCTGCCGTCCAACAAATTAAATTTTACCAATTAAAAAAGGGAATCTATTTAGGTTCGCAGCACTTTTCACGAACTACATATAGTATTGAAAAGGATTATAAAATAAATTAAGATTTTTAACTTGGTTATGCCCTTGCAATATTGAAATTTATAGATGACCTCTAAACTGTAAGTATAATTGCTAAAATCATATGACGTCGACATCACGTGACAAGTCTAAATAAAAAATCTAAATGTCCCCAACATGTAGATTTAAACCACATTACATTTTTTTATATCAGTGAATTCCTAAAAAAGAATCGCCCATCCTATTAAAGTATGTATTTTTTATCTTAAAAAATTGTCGATATTTCCATTTGTAACCTTAACTGTGCTGCGTTGCCTATATATTTCAATGTAAAACTTTGGTCGGCCATAACGGCCCCGCCCTACCCCCAGGGGTCATGATTTGAACAAACTTGAATCTACACTCCCTGAGGATGCTTCTATATAAATATGATCAATCATGGCTTGGCTATTCTTGAGAAGAAGATTTTTAAAGAATTTTCCTACATATTTCAATGTAAAACTTTGGTCGGCCATTGTGGCCCCGCCCTACCCCCAGGGGTCATGATTTGAACAAATTTGAATCTACACTACCTGAGGATGCTTCCATATGAATATGATCAATCGTGGCTTGACTGTTCTTGAGAAGAAGATTTTTAAAGAATTTTCCTATTTATTTCTATGTAAAACTTTGGTCAGCCATTGTGGCCCCGCCCTACCCCCGAGGGTCATGATTTGAACAAACTTGAATCTACACTACCTGGGGATGCTTCCATATAAATATAATCAATTATGGCTACGCTATTCTTGAGAAGAAGATTTTTAAAGAATTTTCCTATATATTTCTATGTAAAACTTTGGTCAGCCATTGTGGCCCCGCCCTACCCCTGTGGGTCATGATTTGAACAAACTTGAATCTACACTACCTGAGGATGTTTCCCCATAAGTTTCATCTTTCCTGGCACAGTGGTTCTTGAGAAGAAGATTTTTAAAACATACCACCAAATTTTCATTGATTCCCAATTATCTCCCCTTTAATGAGGGCGTGGCCCTTCATTTGAACAAACTTGAATCCCCTTCATCCAAGGATGCTTTGTGGCAAGTTTGGTTGAAATTGGCCCAGGCGTTCTTGAGAAGAAGTCGAAAATGTGAAAAGTTTACAGACAGACAGATGGACAGACAGACGGACGCCGGACAAAATGTGATCAGAAAAGCTCACTTGAGCCTTCGGCTCAGGTGAGCTAAACAAGAGGCCCAGGGGCCACAACGCTCACCTTAGCCCATTGGCTAGGAAAAAGCACATATCAGATCAGAACTGAAAGTTTACGGGGGAGGGGGGGGGGGGGCTGGATTTTAACCCCCCAGGGGTTCATGATTTGAACAAACTAGAATCTACACTGCCTGAAGATGATTCCATATTAATATTATATGACACTAATCATAGCTTTGAAGTACTTGAAAAGATGATTTTAAAAGGTTTCCCTATAAATCCCTATGTAAAACTTGGGTCAGCCATTTTGGCCCCACCCTAGCCCCAGGGGTCATGATTTGAACTAACTTGAATCTACACTACCTGAGGATGATTCCACATGAGTTTCATCTTTCCTGGCCCAGTGGTTCTTCAGAAAAAGATTTTTAAAGATTTTTCCTATATATTCCTATGCAAAACTTGGGTCGGCCATTTTGGCCCCACCCTAGCCCCGGGAGTCATGATTTGAACAAACTTGAATCTACACTACCTGAGGATGATTCCACATGAGTTTCATCTTTCCTGGCCCAGTGGTTCTTGAGAAGAAGATTTTTAAAGATTTTTCCTATATATTCCTATGTAAAACTTGGGTCGGCCATTTTGGCCCCACCCTAGGCCCGGGGGTCATGATTTGAACAAATTTGAATCTACACTACCTGAGGATGATTCTACGTGAGTTTCATCTTTCCTGGCCCAGTGGTTCTTGAGAAGAAGATTTTTTAAAAATGCCATTAATTTTTCTCTAATTCGTAATTATCTCCCCTTTGAAAAGGGTGTGGCCCTTCATTTGAACAAACTTGAATCCCTTTTACCCAAGGATGCTTTGTGGCAAGTTTGGTTGAAATTGGCCCAGCGGTTCTTGAGAAGAAGTCGAAAATGTGAAAAGTTTACGGACAGACAGACAGACGGACAGACGGACGCCGGACAAAATGTGATCAGAAAAGCTCACTTGAGCCTTCGGCTCAGGTGAGCTAAAAACCAAACAGAAGTCAGTTGAAATAGCATTTAATAACAATTAAATCAAAAAATAAAGTTTCTCCCATGCAGTATTTTGATAATAATTTGACTATCGATATCTTGAAAACATTAGACATGAAGTTGCATAGATGTGTTCAAAGTGAATAGAATTGAGTCACGTGTTCACTGCTTTGTTATTCATAAGGTCAACGGCGTGTTGGAATTTGTAAACAAGGTGTCTTTACTATAGAGACAAGAACCCATGGTTTTGCACCTTTTTGGAAAATTTCAAATGAGTGCACAACCGTTTCAATTTCTTTCATGAATGTAAATGATAAGTATAACTCTCTATATTGACCATATAAAAATGACAACTTGAAACATCCATGCGCTCATATAAAAATTTGGCCTGCGAAATGGGGGTGTGGCCTAAAGTCTACGAGAAATCAATGTAAACAACGTACCCCTGCTATATTAATCAGATATAAAGCTAATTACAGTGCACGAAAGTAAAAATTCAATGTTTGTTGGAAAGATTGAGACAAAAATATGTAGAATATCTTAAATTCAATTTTCTGTAAATTATCGGGGGGCCGAATAAGGATGTTTAAACGATTCATTCTTTGCATATTTTTGAATCTCCATTGCAACAATGTTTTTGAACATGTTGAAAGTCTATCCTATCATTTTTTTTATTTTTATTTTTTTGTGTAATAAAGCACTTACAAAATGCAAGTGCAAAAAAAAAGATTTTCAAAGAATTTATGCATTTTCACTATATAATTAATAGAGCTCCGCCCTAACACCAGAACCCCTGACCCAGGGGTCATGAAATTCACAATTTTGGAAGAGGCAGCCTTATTCAACATAACTAGGCACTTGGTTACATGTAGTTTATTTAATGCAAAGGAGCAGAGAAGAAGATTTTCAAAGAAATAATTCATTTTTACCATATAATATTTATAGCCCCACCCTTGCGCTAGAAGCCCTGTCCCTGGGGCCATTAGATTCACAATTTTGGAAGAGGCAGCCTTATTCAACATAACTAAGCACTTGGTACAGTAAGTTTATTTAATGCCAACAAACAGAGAAGAAGAATTTCAAAGAATTTATGCATTTTCACTATATTTATATTCTATATAGCCCCGCCCTAGCACTAGAACCCCTGACCCTGGGGCCATGAAATTCACAATTTTGGAAGAGGCAGTCATTTTCAACTCAACTATGCACTTGGTTAGTTTATTTAATGCCCAGGACCTGAAAAGGAAAATTTCAAAGAAATAATGCACTTTCACTATATAACCTATTTAGCCCCACCCTAACACTAGAACCCCTGACCCTGGGGCCATGAATTTCACAATTTTGGTAGAGGACTCAATGCTCATTACAATCATACCAAAAGTTTGACTGCTTGATGTCCAGGAGTAAAGAAGAAGATTTTTAAAGATTGCTAATTCTAGTGGTTTTGCCCCACCCCCGGGGGGGGGGGGGGGGCAGGGACCGTGAAATTCACAATTTTTGTTCCCTTTTAACCATAGATGCTATAGGCCAAAATTGGTTGAAATTGGTTTGGTGGTTTCAGAGAAGAAGCTGAAAATGTTAACGCACAACGAACGACGACGGATAGCACCTAATAAACCTGTAGGCACCTTTCATATACATTATCTTGACCTTAAACTTTTGTCTTAGGTGAAATTACAACAAATATATATCATGTATATATTATTCTTACCAAGCTTGCACCTTTTTCCTCTTCAAGATCATTTGCTGTTCTTTTCTGAGATCTCTTAGCCTCAAGGGGCTCCGATAAGTTAAAGGACATATTTTATCTACAAAACACAATAACAATTCTGTTGGAATACTTGATCAGAACACGTACCTCTACAATCTCTCCTACGAAGTATGAATTAAGTGCCCTACCAGCATGATACACCCATCAAATATTGTTCAACTATCTTAAATAGTTTAGAGTGCAAGAAAATCATGTCAATCTTGTTCAAAGATTCTGTAATATTTCCATTTCTTATAATATTTGATGTTTATACATCTCCTGTAGTGTAGACATTAATTATAACAAATATTACATCATAGATTTCTCAACTGATTGTGTGAAACCTTGACAAATGCCCAATTGAACCCCCCCCCCCTTCCTCCTTCCATTTTTGTTTGATATTTTCAAAAAAATTAAATAACAAGAGGCCCAGGGGCCACATCCCTCACCCGAGCAAATCGGCTAGGAAAAAGCACAAATCAGATCATAACTGAAAAGTTTACTGAAGGAGGGGGGGGGGCTTGAATTTTAATACCTCTTGAGAATGCCTTCTGGATACAGATAAATGTTTATTTCTCACATGTCATAACCATGATTACAGATACAAATCTTTCTTTTTTTCATTGTGGTAATTATCTTATTTAAAATCTTTGTGAAAATAAGGTATTACAGTATAGAAAATTAAAGCAGGATAATTTTTTATACACAGCTACATGTAGTAGTGGGATGATTCACCGATGCATCACAGTATTCACTTTGATGTCGGTCAAAAGCTCTACAGAGCTTATGTTTCTGTTTAAAAAATCCGACACGAAATAAAATTTTCTGATTCTGATGATCTACAGATCGATTCATCTAATTTAGTGTCACGATACCTGACAGCACTTTTCTTTTTAATTTCCAAAAATATCCAGGCTTTAAAATTTGAAATTTTTTGTCCTTTAGTCGTTATCATCAAGACGTTTACACAAACAGAAATAAAGTACAAACATCTTGGTGATACAGAATTCAAAATATAAGCGTCAAAATGGCGTCAAACATGCGGGATTATGTTAAATTAACAAAACCCAATGGCAGTAAGTCAAGTTCATTTGTTGAATTAGTTTATTTTCATACACTGTTATGTTTCAAATTAAATGTTCTGAAAAATTATCTAGTTTTATTTGGTTTTAAATGTATCGTGATATGTATTGTATAGCACCTAAGGTATCGTGATATGTATCAGATCGGCAAAGTTTAGTATCGTCCCAGCCCTAACTTTATGCTCATGGTGGTATTCTTTACCAAAATTAAGAAATTTCAACAAGAAGCCCATCTAAGGGGTTATGATTTGAATAAACTTGAATTTACAATATTTTTTCCATAAATATGACTGATCATGGCTTTTGTATGGAATCCGGATAGGGCCACGCAGTTCACTATCGCATCATCGCATTATCGAGGTTTAGGTCGATAGTGCGATTAAGCGATAATGCGATGACGATGAAGCGATGATGCGATAACGATGAAGCGATGGTGCGATAGCGCGATGACGATGATGCTATGGCGTGACAATGCGATGACGATGGTGCGATGACGCGATAGTGCGATGAAGCAATGGTGCGATAGTGATGACACGATGATACGATGACGATGGTGCGATAGTACGATGACGATGAAGCGATATTTACTATTGCTCAATCGTGCTATCGCACCATCATCATCGCATTATCGCACCATAGCATCATCGTCATCACACTATCGCATCATCGCTTCATCGTTATCACACCATCGTTTCATCGTTATCGCGCCATCACATTATTGCGCCATCGACCTTTAAGTTGATGCTCGATGGTGCGATGGTGCGATAGTGAACTGTTTGGCCCTATCTGGATTCCATACTTTTGTGTTCTTGGGGAAAATATATATAAATTATATTATATATTATTAATATGTAAAACTTTGATTTCCCACTGGGCACCAGCCTACCATGAGAGTCATGATTTAAACAAATTTTACATAAATGATGAGGAATTTTGATGCTCATTGATTGGCCTAAAACTTTTAAGGTTTACCTCAAAGCATGCTCTGACAAATCCCATTGCCCAATGCCCTGTGAGGGCTAGTAATTAATTTTAGAGGTGGGCAAGTGAATTTTTAATAGGCACTTGCCTGTGGGCAAGTAACTTTAAAAAAGTCAATCAATAAATATTTTCTTAAATTAAAAAAGTCATAGTTTTCCATGAAAATAAAAATCATTTTGTTGTAAGAATTATCTTCCTTTATTTGTCACACTTCATATGCGAACCAGTTTAATTGTGTCATCATTATGCAATTCATTAAAAGTTTTACCGAAAGTATTCAGTACATGTATTTGTAATTGAAAGTGACAAATTGGCATGGGAGAAATGGAGAAAGTTTTGACACTTATGAGGTAGAAAACGATCGAAAGCCAATGATAAGTACATCATCCATAACAACTATAGTTAAAATCTCAGTACAAAATTAAACTGTCTATACCAGGTACATGTATGAGAAAAGAAAAAACATAGGTCTGAAACCATTATTTTAAACAAATAGCAGATATTATGACTATAGCTGAAATATGATAGCAATTTTCCTTCTCTGCATGAAAGAAAATATTATTCTCGAACTAGACGTGAAAGTATGTTTGTTAAAGCCCCTTTTAATTCATAATCTTGAGATTGTAAATATTTTCCCCCATATATTTCTGGCATGCATGTTTAAAATTGGTTGCTCAAAGAGGAAAATTCACTGCTTTGCCCTACAAGATGGCGGCTAAGGGGAATAACTCCGAGGCAAAATATGTCAAAGGAAAACCATCTATACCCCCGCTCTGATGTAAATAAACACTAACATGTTAATATACACAAGTTTAATTACAGGCAGACCGTGAGGTCCAGTACAATCACTAGATTTAGCTACGTAGGTAGAATTACCTACGTAGCTTTATTTACCTACCTCAGGTAGCTTTATTTAGCTATTTCAAGGTAAGTTTTCAAAAGTTTTCTTTTTATTAAAAAGAGACAAAAAGTCGCAATTAAATGACTATTGATATTTATACTAGGGAGGCTTGAAAAGACAATCCAAAGCAAAGATAGTTTATACATTGCTGCGTTTGGACAATTTAGAGCAAAACATGTAATTCCATTGTTTGGTTAGCTGTCCGTGCGGTGAGGCATGACTGAGTATGATTACTTCACATTGTGCTGAATAATTACCGACCTATTATCGTTTTAACCGGAACTGGACTTCTTTGTCATTTCATCCAAGGGGTAACTGTTCTAACTGTCATACATAGCCCCAAAACTTTCAGAACTTTGATTGCAATTGCGCAGAAAAAGACATTTTTCCAAGAGGGATTTTTTCATGAGTTGTTTTCAGATGAGTTCAAAGTTAAAAATGATCACTGCATCAGTCTAGACGAACTCCAAAAACGGCGTGAACTCCAAAAAAGAAGTCTTTGGCTCTGTCATGCATTGCGGCAAAATGGCTTCCGATGTAAACAAACGATGGATTGTCGTTCGCTTTCTCCACAAATACGACTGAATAATGGCTGTATTTAGTAAACTGTGACTGGATTTCAATTTTTGTTGAATAAATAATTGTACCCATTAAATTATTAAGTGGTTATTGACTTATTTATCGCTCTGTATTCTTGCATAATAGTGATTTGGGATATACGTACGACACCGGGATTCAATAAAGTCGGTTAGAATTAATTTTCCAACTTAATTTATTGTCCCCTTGATTTAAATTTAATGCCATTCCTACTATAAAGATTCTTCAATTTTACTTCTAAGACACTTATATATTTTTTTTTTATGAAAAACCGCACAATTTTGGCGGCGGAGCAGAGATATAAACAGGTTCGATTTGAGAAGACTTTTTAACCGTAATTTTAAAAGAATGATTTTTTTTTGTTCTTAAACTCATAGATTATAATTCTAAAAATGTTTTCATGATTATATCTATTCATATGTGAAAACATTAGGTATATAGCGATGGTTATAATTAACTAACGCTCTCAATATTCAGATGTCATACAGGATTATATGACGAAATACAGGCGCGTAGCCAGCATGGAAATGAAGTGTACGCAGAAAATGGTCGGGGGTCTGGGGGGCCCAGGGGGGGAAGCCCCCGGAAGCTCCTGGATTTTACGAAATTTTTCAGTCATTTTCTCGCAAAAGAAATCACAATAAATTTTTATAATATCATTTTTCTCGAGCAAACACTTAGCTATAAGATATACTGCTTCCATTGATACTTCGGGAAGAGAAGGAAAATTTATCAAATTAATTTACGCATATTGTGGTATTGGAAAAAAGTTTCCAAGTGTATCAAGATAAAACAGAGTAGCAATTTCAATATCGTTATCATTGAAGTTTAAATATTTCAAAATATAAACGGGGGTGTTGTTGTCTTTTGATGACCTTCATATTTGATAGCTGAAATGATTCGAGAATGCTTCAATTATAATATAATTCTTTAAATTGGTATATAACATCAGTAAAAGAAGCTATATTATTATTTATTTTGTTCACCATAATTTAAGTTGTTTAACGACATTTATTCATTACCTCTACGGAAATTAAAAATCTTGGATAGTCGTTCAAAACCTTTGTAACTTTTTCTTTCGATCAAAGTCCCTTAGATCGCTTTCCTTATCAAATATTTGTCCGGATAATCATGATTACGCGGATTAACATTTTGGTTCAACAATTTTTTTTTCCTCAAGAATGTTGAAAGATGTTTTTGGAATTGAATTTATAAAGGACTAAATTTGAATGTGCAGACATGCTGAAAAAAATTGAATCCAAACAATAAGACGCAAAATAATTTGAAACATGGGTAGTGCCTCTTTTTTCCCGAATAAAATTCTCTCTTTCTTTTTTCCTTCTTTTCTTTTATCCCTCTTTCTTTCTTTCTTTTTTTTGGAAAATGATGTGTACGCACTTGCGTACTTGCGTATAGGCAGCTACGCGCCTGAAATAATATTACAAATAGGTAAAAATTCGGTCAATGTTTAACAGTTACAACATATATATTACATTGTTCAATTTTACATATTTTTCCCTTTTATTATATGTTTGATTCCCAAACGTTTATTTTTCTTTGTATTTGATCTAACTTGAAACGTGAACTTTCTTCAAAAAAGCCTCGGAGGAAATGTGGAAACTGAATGGATTCTCATGTAACTGTCACCTGATCGACTCTTATTTATGATTAAAACCATCAATTCAGTACTTTCTTTAATTATTGGTAAGATGTATTTACAATGCAGTTGCTCATTGCTGATCTAAACATGCTGAAATTTATTCGTACACGATAGACATGAAAGACAGAGGAAATTCGAACTGAAAATTCGCCAGCGTTCCTTACTTACAAAATAAACTTCTAAAATCAGTAAAAGTAGTTCTAAAATGACTAACTTAGTCACTACAAACAAATTATCAACCACAGAGATGTTTTCATAAGATTACGACTGTTTAATTTGTATTTTGTATCCTACTTGTACGATGTCTGGCTGAACCTCGAAGTTGGTCAACTTTGACTTGAAATTAAAAACTATTTGCACATGAAATCAAAATTCTAACAAATACGTTCTCTAAAACCATTTATTATTAATCATTTCTGAGAACTTACATTATTGTAAGGTAATCCAATTTTTTGCAAAAACACTTTTTATAAGAGCCCACTTTTCACGATTTTTCACCGTTTTTTTTATATAACTGCGCATGCGTTGGACTCGTTTTTTGGAGTCTTTTCTGGACTGAAATTCTCACTTCCGTTAACGCCGTTTTTGGAGTTCGTCTAGACTGTGCATCAAAATGATATTTTCTGCACACCCTGAGAAAAATACTTTTAAATAGAAATAAACCAATTTGGTAGCTAAATAAAGCTACCTCGGGTAGGTAAATAAAGCTATGTAGGTAAATCAAGCTACGTAGCTAAATCTACTGATTGTACCAGACCTGGCAGATGCACAAAAAAATTTGAAGTTTTTCTTAAGGCTTTTTTCGCCTAAGGCGGCCCCCAGACCCCTCGCCAAGACTGGTTTCGTGCTTTTTCATTTATTTTTCCTTCTTATTGAAAATCTTATTGAAAACGCTGAGGGAGTGGGGTAGGGACGAAGTTAGGATACACGATCACGACGATATTGTTATAAAAAAAAAAAAACATTTTGTCATCCAAAAAAAACTAGACTATCCTTACCTTCGAAAAACTTATTTAGTATAAATTTACACGTGTTTGGCACTTTCTGGTCTAAAGTTAAACAAACTGGACTGTGATGGCGATGCAATTTTTAGTTCCTGTCACCTGTGCCTGTGGTGTGTGTATCCAAACACATGCGCTTGAAATTGACAACTCGTACATAAACTGATTCGTACTTAGCATTCAACAGATTGAACTCAACTCAAATTGAAATTTAACTCGTACACAAGCCTGAAAGTTTATTCAGAGACACATTATACATCTCTTGTTTCTTCTCGCACCTTCATACATATAATTTTTCCAGTTCTTAGATAATATCCAATTTTTTTATGTTTACAAAGTCAGTGTGTAGTGTCGGATCCAGGAATCTAGAAAAATAATTGGGGGCAGTTTGAGGTCGGGGTAGAGGCCAACAGCCACACAATAAATAATCTTACGCATAATTTGGACAAAAGAGGAGGGGAGGGGATGGTAACTCACTAAAACCGCCAGTGATACAAGATACAAGATATTTTATTTACCAATCAAAGGCCCCGAGGGGCATTTCAACATATATAAATGTACAGTTTAAACATTCTTTTTTTTTTTTTAACAATATATTTTGTTTTTTTAGACAGTTATACAAATGACCAAGTTACATAATAATATTATTATCAGTGTCAATGATCATACATAATACAAGTGTCCAGAAGAATGTCAATTATCATAAAACATTATACAAATGTGATGCTATAGGCTACATGAATAAATTTTAATGGCTTAGCATGCATAAACATGATGACAGAATCTATGTATTTATAAATGTTCATTGGTTCTTTTACCATTTTCAGAAATAAATTTTCCAAGTAGGCATAAAATTTCTTTATTTTCATTATTCAATATCCATATAAGTTTTTCAGCAGGTGTCAAAGAAGAGAAGTTTGGGTTGATTTTTGATATTGTCTCCACTAATTGCCACCTTTCATTGCTGTTTTTTTTTTTGACAAATGAGTAAAAAATGTTATTCAATATTCATCTTCAACTTCCTGTATATTACATTGAGAAACACTTTCTAGATTCAGGGGGAAGTCCTGTATATCTTCCCCTTTCAATATTTAATGTGCAGAAATGAGAAGTTCCTCTGATCATAGTCAGGCGCGGATCCAGGAATTGAAGTTAGAGGGGGCGCCAAAAGTAGGCAAGGGGTCTGGGGGCCGCCTTTAAGCCCCCAGTGGGTCCAGGGCAAAGCCCTGGTGGGGGCTGGGGGGGGCGAAGCCCCCGGAAGCTTCTGGATTCTAGAGATTTTGTAGGGTAAAAATGAGGTCTATGAAGTATACATATTTACATTTTCTAGACGAAACTGTGATTTACGTTAATTTTGACAATTTTAAGGGGGGGGGGGCGCCGGGTGCGCCCCCCTTAAATCCGCCACTGATAGTTATTGACAATGTGGAGATAGTGTTCTCTTCCAAAATTGGTTTTGAAGATGGAATTAGTCCTTAGTTTACCATCATTTTGCTGCCTATTTTCTTTATACCATTGGTTTATAAAATATTGTCTTATAATACATGATGACTTCTTTTTAAATGAACAAGTTCTATATTTTGATAAGTCAATATTTTTGAAAGCAGTTAAATGACCGAAAATTGTCTCAATGCATGAAAACCATGATGGTTTATTTTCAAAAAAGAGGCTTTTTGAGACGGAGTATGTTTCTTTGAGTAGGACAAAAGATGGATGCAATGTTTCTAGTCGAAACCAGTAACTTAATTAGCATAGCTTTAATAACTGAATGATACAGTGGAAATCTGCCTAGCTCAGACAGAACTGCAAAGTTTGTTGACTTTCTATGCACTCCAAGAATAGCCTTGCAATATTTAATGTGCATTGTTTCACATTTTAATTTGTTAAATATTTTGTCCATTGTGATATCTTTGTTTTGAAATTTAGAAGCAAAGGGGTTGAAAGCCCCCCAAATTTCAAAACCATATAGAAGAATAGGAGAAATGGTATGATCAAATAAATGAAGGTTAATATTGACAATATGACAATTGGACATAATTTCTCTCTGTAATTTTGAACGTGCTTTCAAGGCCTTCTTATATAATTCATTTTGAGCAAAGGTAAAAGAACCTGAGTTACAAAAATAAATACCAAGATATTTTTATTGTTGAACACATTCAATCAACTTATTTTGAAAAGAAAACTTTTCCGATATTTTTTTCCAGCTCTGTTAAGAATCATAATTTTTGTCTTGGATAAGTTAACATTTAGACACCAATCATTACAATATTTGTCCAATATATCAAGTTTTGATTGTAAACCATTCGAAGTGCTTGATAGCAAGATTAAATCATCAGCATACATTAATTAAACAGTGTATTATGTGATCATTAAGAGTAACAGAATCTGAAGAGTTATCCATGTATTTCGGCAAATCATTTATAAATATTTTAAACAGATTTGGGCTCAAGTTATCCCCTTGCTTAACACCTTGCTGGATTGGAAAAAAATCAGTAATTCGATTATGGATTTTTATACATGAAATACTTCTTTGATAAATTTCTTTGACAATATTGTATAACTTCTATCTGAAGAAGTTTTAATTTTATCCCAGTATGTATAACAGTATCAAAAGTCTTATGAAAATCTACAAAACATGCATAGTTTCCCATTCTTTCCATTGCAATATTTATCAAAAATACATTTTAGAATAAGCATATGATCCCATGTTCTGGCTTTCTTGGTACATCCTATCTGACAATCATCAATGACTTTGTTTTCCACAAGAAATTTGTCTAGTAGTATATTATTCAAAATACTATTAAAAATTTTTCCTATTACACCTCTTACAGTGCTCCCTCTATAATTATTTGGATCATTCTTATCACCACCTTTATGAATTGTAGAAATATATTCACATGACCAAGCCCTGGGATATCTCCCACTGGACAACACCATATTGAATAATTTAACAAGACTGGATAGTAAAACATGCTGCCCACATTTTAACATACTATTTGAAATATTATCTAAACCAGGAGACTTGTTATGTTTAAGTTTAGCAATTGCTTGAGATATTTCCGATTGTTTTATAGGAAAATCTAATGTATATTGAATATCTTTGTGGATTCTAACTGTTCAAGACTTTTGTGGAGAATATTAATTTTAATCTTTCGGGATAAATTTCCTTGGTTTTACTTAAACTCTGAAAATGATTTAGCCAAGTATCTGAATCAATGGAATTTTCTGATCCGTCTGTCGTACACGAGTCTCCTTCTTTAAGATCATTAACGAGTTTCCAATACATTTTTGACTTCATGCAAGTTTTCTAACTGGAACAATATTGACCTCTGGTACTCTTTACGTGTTCTTTTTCTACTTTTTGTGTACTCTCTATATAATTTATAGTAGTGACCTCTTACTTGTGGATCTGTGGGATACCTTGACAATATCTTACCATAGCTGATTAAATTCATATGTTGCCTATGTAAACTACTGTTAAACCATTTTTTAGATTTAAACTTTTTTGATTGGGGAATTTTTTTTTTTAAGTAGAGAGTTGTTAGTTGCTTGAATTATAATATTATAAAATAATTAGATGATGCATCATCAACAGTTTCTTGTGCAATTTTGAATATCTTTTGATGAGAGAGCAATTAAAAAGTTATGTTCCGAGTTATCATCCCATATATAATTGGTGGATAATGGTTTTGTATTTAAAAATTTGTTTTTAGTTTTCTCAGGTATTAATTTGAAGAAGAAGGTATGGTTTCCATACAAATTTTGCCCTGTGATTTTCTAAAAAAATGAAACTGGTGTAAAAGTTGAAAACTCATGTTTTTAAATAATTGAAATTCAATGCAGAAAAATCATACAATACATTTTTCTCACTTGTGTTTTTAAATGCTAATTATGACGTCATAAACTTGTGCATTTTCTCGTATTTTCTTAAAAAGTTGCAGAAGACACCAATTTTTAATGGAATTTTCTTTCAGATAACATTGTCCACAGGCATCGCCCACAAAGATCTTGAGATATGTGATTTGTTATTGATTTTTGCACAAAATATCAAAAAATTAACGTGGGCGACGGCTGTGGACACTGTTTTCTAAAGGAAAATCACCCTTGAAATGTGCCATTTTGAAGCTTTTTCTGTTGAAAATAAAGAAATGCTTCACATTAATGACGTCATATTTGCAGAATGGTAAACCTTCATGCCATATTCTTTCCTGATTTATCAGAGTCATTTATTTAACTAATATTTAAGCCAGTTTCAAAACTGTTTGATGTCATTACATTTTTAGGCCGCAATAATGCTAAAACCATACCTTCTTCTTTAGCAGATAAGGACAATTCAAGTTTACAGTGTGTATCAGAGAATGTTGGAATAAAGTCTGCTACTTTGAAATACAAAATGTTTTCTAAAAAGTCTTCAGATACAATGACGTAATCAACAATACTTGAACCATTAGGAGTATGACAGGTGAACTGACCAGACATATCTCCAAGGACTCTGCCATTCAATATTCGAAACTGATTCCCAATACAAAAATCTAATAGATCTCAACCTCGACCATCAATCTTTTGATCTTTACTCTTCCTTTGTAATATGATTTTTTCAGTGTTGCAGTTAAGATCTACAGGGATAAATTGATGGTCATCATCACAAATGAAATCTGACTCAATTGAAGTTCTACCATTAAAATCTCCACACAATAAGATATCTCCTTTCCCTTTGAGATTTCCAATATCTTTGTTAATGTTGTTCAGAATATCAATTTCAAGTCCTTGGGTATAAGTTGATCCACTGGATGGATTGTACACAACACATATAAATAAATCCTGATCAAAACCAAAATAAGTTTTCTTCAGTTTTATCAATTGAAAGTCAGGGCTTGTATTTTGCAAAATCTTTACGTAGGGTCGTAGATGTTGCTAAACAAGAATTCCCAATCCTCCAAAGTACCTATTATTTTGTTTTGTAATTTTTCTATGAGTAAAATAGCAGTAAAATGAGCTCAGATTGGTAATCTTGTAATTGGGATCAAGATGTGTTTCTGCTAAGAAAACAAAATCATATTTGGATATTTCCTTAATAAAGCTTGGGTCATTCGTTT